GATCAAAACCCAAACCCCAACCCCACCGAGGCTGCCAGCGGAAGGACGCACCTTGTTGCAGTTGGCCAGGTGAGCTTTCAGCCCCGAGACACTGGAGTAAATGGCTTCACAGCACTGCAGGAAGAAACAAAGCAGGGTTTGCCATGGTCCCCCTTCCTCCCCGTGCTTTCCTCTGTGCCAGGGCCAGGAGCCTGCTGTGCCAGCAAGGCCACCGGTCCAGGCTGAGCAGCGTGAGGTTAATGCTCTGTGAGACACGGAGGGCTCTGGTCACACGTTTCCTATTAGTGCTAATGGGAGTCATGTGGCCACATCCCTCTGCAACGGGATGAAAAATGTCTCCTTTCAATGTCTCCATGGAAAACGTACATTTGTGAGCAGTCGGGAGGGTCCTGCTGGGCTACGGGAGCTCTTGGAGCCACAGCAGATGCTTAACGGAGGACAGAAATCACCCGGGCAGCAGCATGACCAGTTTCAAAGTGCCTGTGTATGACATTCATTAGCCAACGCGTCCCCCCGGCCTCGTGGGAACAGCCTCCTCCTTCAGAACCCCCCTTAGCAAGGCTTTGTTTGAGATGATAAATCCAGGGCCCAGCACCAGGGTGGAGTTTACCTCCCCGCCAGCTCAGGCCAAGGCTGTGCTTCACAGCAGGATGAAGCGCATGCACCACGTCCCCGAGTGGGCTTTGCCTGTCACAGGGCTTCAAAATGAAATGGCTTCAAACCAGCCCCAGCTTTACGCTGGGAAAAGCAGGTTCTCTGCATAAGAAGGCTCTAGAATGTGCAGGCTTCACCCTGTTTGGATCTTGGGAGCTTCCCAAAGGCAGCTCCAGAGCCTGAATTGGGTGACGCTAAACCATCAGCCCAAGGGTACCAGGGAGAGCGTGGCCTGATCCGCAAACCCAGTGACTTGAGCACACCAGGAGGGTCCCAAAGGTGGGATACGCTTCAACCAGGCACAGCAGCAGCCTCGGGGAGATGAGGTGAAATGAGGGTCACTGCCAGCTTCATCTGGGGCCCAACAGAACCTGGCTTTGGTGGGTTTCTGCCCTAAAACCTCCCCCTTCCTCCTGCAGACTGAGACCAGCCAGCCCAGAGAAGAAGAGAGATGGGTCCTTACGTTGTTGGGGCAGTTGATGCGTCCCTTCTCCTTCACTTCATTCTTCCAGTTCTCCAGCAGCCTCGGGTTGAGCTTTGGAAGCCCTGGTCGGGTGTAATTGAGCTGCAAACAATAGAAGACAGTGAGCAGAGCTGCACACACCAGTGCGGGCCTTGGTGGAGTCCCTGCTCTTCACATGGGTCTTGCCTCCTCCCAGGGGAAGTGAATCTGAGCTGAAAATGAGTTGGAGGCTTCCCCCAGAGATGTCATCTCACCCTGGGCACTGCAGAGCAGGAGCCCCTGGTGCTGCAGCCACCTCCATGTGATGGCAAACAGGAGAGGGGACAATCCCACTCCTGGGTCCATGCCCCATTGCAGGGCCAGACCTGGAGTTTTTGGTGCATCGTGTCAGCATAACCCTTCTGCCACGTCTTGTAACAGGGAGAACAAACAGCCCTGCACGCTGGGCAGAGGGGATGGACACCAGGAGCCTCCGTGGCTGCTTTCCACCCATGAATGGGCACAACTGCTAAACAACGAAAGGCTCTTGTGTCTCTGCCTCTCCTTTTGGCAGGGCTGCTCTTTCCAAGTGCTTTTAATTACTGCTTTATTAGCGACTCGGAGGTTCAGCACAGCGGCTCGGCCTTCCCAGCTCCACTTCTGCATGTTCAGCACAAGCAACCGTGGCTGTGGCTTCTCTGTGCCTCCTAACACCGTGCTCAGTCCCACCTATGGGGCTGGTCTCTGCCTGTCACCGTGTCACCATCAACAGGGGACACCGAGCTGCTCTGCCTGCACTCTGAGCCGCTGCCTGCTGCACAGCCAGGCCTCCCAGCTCTAGAGAGCTCTAGGAGGGATGTTTTTTGGGTCTGGAGCCCAAAACTTGCCCCAGATCAGAGCAGGGCTAGGAGAGCTTGCCCATGGCATTGCACAGTCATGGACTTCAGAGCATGGGCACCTCTGAGCTCAGTACATCCACCCTGGCCAAGACGGATGCACAAAGAGCACTCGCAGAGGTGCAAACCCAGGCTCTGTTCCTGAAACATACCCCCAGGACCTGGAGCTCGTGGCTCTGATGCAGCAGGGAGGCAGCTGGAGTTCTTTTCCAGCTGAGACTCTCCTGAACGTGCTGGTAAAGCTGCACATTTACCCTTGTCCAGCTCCCCAGACAGGCTGCTCCCAAACCTCCCTGCGAAGAGGAGCTCTCACCAAGGGCTCAGGCACCAACCACTCATCTCCACTTGAACTTAAGTGATCCACAAGCCCCTGCAGCCTCCACCTCAGCACGTGGTGGGGCATGGCCATGCAGGAGGGAGCCTGAGGAGGGGCAGGCTCGGTGTGAGGGGCGAAGGGCCTTGTGCAGTGGTGCCACAAGCACTGCCGAGGGCGGATGTGGAAAGATCCCCTGAGCCCCAACATGCTGCTCTTGTGTGGTGCTCCGCGGTGGGGGGAGATGCCAGCACAGCTCTTTGAAGCTCTGGGATGGTGCATGTACCAACTGCTTGGTGCCCAGCCCGGGGAAGGCAATGCCACCTCCAGGGGAGAACACAGGAGTCCCTTTTTGTCATTGATACTGAGAGCCAAACGGCCTCCTTAATTAAAACCCAATCAACCCCATGAATGAGCAAACATGAACCGCACACGGTCCCAGCAACAACCTCTCCCTCTGCACGTCCCCGGGGAGCAGACAAGGGGGGATGTTCAGAGATGTGGACTCCGCTGCTCCTTCTTCCCACTCCGGAGGAAAAAATCCCTCCCTGCTCTCCTCCAACAGGCCTGTACAATAACATGCAAATCCCATGTCTTCCCGGGGCGCTGCGGTTCTGGGAATGTCAAAGTCATCTTTATGTCTCTATTAAGAAGGAGCCCCAGGCATGGAATATTTAAATCTCTTTTTTTTTCCCCCCCATTTATTTTCCTCAAACAGCCTGTAAGTGAAAATCTTCATGGCCAAATCATTAAACAACTACAACCGGTTTTGGCTGCGGCCCATCTCTTGTGAACAGTCGAAGGATGCTGGGCTGGGAAGGGCTTGTTTTCTTTGACTGATGGGTTTATTTAATGAACTTTGATATTTCCACCCTCTCCTCTCTCCCTAGACAGCTCTCCCCTTCCCCTAAATACAGAGCAGTAAATGAGAACCATGCAGCTGCCTCGGCCCCGGCCAACACGCGCCCCTGGAAGCCTTTCCGAGGTCCCCAGCGCGAGGCTCTTGCCATCACCCCATACATGGGAAGTGCAGCTGATGCTGCCCTGGAGGTGAAGCCAGAGCTCACCCAGGGGTGCTGGCTGGCAGCCGGGTCCCCTGCGTGGCTGCGGGCCGCGGGGTCACACCACGAGCAGGAGGAGGAAGGATGGACTGGTCCCCACCGAGCTGGGATCCGGTTTAGCCCACCAGTGACATGAGTCCGCAGGGCTCAGCCTGGCTCCTGCCCAGAGCACAGGGCCATTGTTTTGGGGGACAAACCCGAGCCAGGCTCTTCTGCTCTGGAATGCAGCCTGCTGTCAGGAGGGGGTTTTCTTAGCAGCTCAAGCATGGACATGACTTTTCCCCTTCAGTTTTATGCCTGGCCTATGGCAGCCCTTTGCTCCAGACCCCATTACCCCACAACACAGCACCCAGCTCCACTGGGACGTGCAGCCTCCAAGGCTGCTGCAGCAACACCCAGACCCAAGCTGTAGGGAGATGAATGGGGTGCCCTTGCACCCACAGAAGAGCTCTGCATCCTTCCCTCTGCAACACAGCAGCTGCCTGGGCTGCAGGAGCCATCGCCATCTCCAGCACAAAGCTCACAGCACCTTGAAACAAGCAACCCCACCTTGAGCTCTACAGGAAAAGCATCACACAACCAAGCTGTGGGATTTCCATGGTGTTTTCTCCACTCTTGCCTCTTAAATGCCTCTTCTCTCTGCTCAAGGAGATCTTTTCTCTCAGTTCAGCCTCCAAAATGGGTAAGGGCATCACCCCCCAGGTCGCACCAGCGCCTGCCTGCACCACCAAGCCAGGAACCTGACGGCCTCCTGCTCCTTCTGCAGCAGCCCCGAGTTGCTCATGGTCGTGCCATGGCTCCAGTGAAGGCCAGAGGAGGGTCGGAGGATCAGCAGCATCTTCATGGAGCTTCTGGAAAGGGGATTTTTCCCAGAAAAGCAGCAGGGGTGTGCCCTTCCCCATCTGACATCCCCAGCAAGCGGCCGTTGTGAAACACCCCATCTGTTTCAGCTTATCCAGAGGCAAATAAAGATCCGAGTGAGAAAATAAGGCTCCAGTGTATATTTAGAAATGCTGGATTTGGTTAGTGCAGAATGGAGCAGTGCAGGGCCTGGGATGGAGCAGCAATCGTTTATTCTAATGCCATCGCTTTGGTGTGAAGGAATCCATCCTCCAGGGGAAAGGCAAACACATCCCACCACGGGCCACCAACGGGATCCAAACCCATGGGCCAGGACTGGCTGCCATGTGGCCACGAGGGCACAGCACAGTGCAGGGGCTGCAGTGGGGCTGTGAACCCTTGTATCCCATCGGCTTGCTGAGGAGCTGTTTGCCTCTCCCTAGGGAAAAGCTTTGCTGCTTGGCAAAGGGATGGAGAGGAGGGGTGGATTTCTCCATCGGCTCCCTTGAAATCCATGTTGACTGCTGGGATTGTGGTGGGTAACTGGAGAGCTTGGCCTGTGCTGCAGCAAGTCTGGGTGCATCCAGCCATCGCTGGTCACAGACCACAGCTGGGAAGCATCCATCCCTCCAGGTCTCTGGAACTCTCCAGGTCTTGCTGAGATGGTGCAAGAGCAGTTGAAATCTGCCACTGATCCCTGACATCCCACCTCCCTCCAGGTCCAAGCCAGGAAGGGGTTCTGCAGACCCTGATCTGAAGCAACTTGTAAACAAGGTCCTGAGCGATGCAAGACACCGCTCAGCAGAGGAGCACAAAGCCTGCTGAAGTCAGCAAGCTCCCACAGCCTTCCCAGGCAAATCCTGCCTCCCACCTCTTCAGCATCACTCGTCGGGAAAGAATGTCAGAGACTGAACAGATGATGTTAGAGTGTTGTCAAGGGAACGTGACAGTCACTGCAAGATGTACCTGCAGGCTCACCCACAGCTCCATACGTGCAGCTCCCACTGCACTGACCTCCTCCGAAATCCAGCCACCCAAGAGCCTTCTTTTGCCACCTGGGAGCTGGTCCAGCTCCCCCCTTCTCTATCTTCAATGCCAACCTCACAGCAACTCTCTTTGGTTTTTAGTGCTGAGATGGGGCTCAACTAAACTTAAAAAACACAAGGAATGTCTCATAAAAACCACCACTAGAAAGAGCATTTCACAGAGCATTATGCCAGCAGCTCATTTATGATGCCTTTGCATGTCAGCTTGCACATGGGCCCCTTGTCCAGGCCTGGGACTCCTGGTACTCCCTCTATTCAAACAGAAAATACCCGAAGTATTAAGGGGAGCAATTCAAGGAAGAAAGAGGAATGCAAGTGCTGAGGCTGGAAGGGGGAGAAGAGGTCAACCACACCTCCCCTCTCACAGTATGTGAAATGAAACAGCTACTTTGGGCTTGAGTTTTTAACATTATAAATGCACTGCAGCTGAAGTCATCTGGAAAGCAGCAACGACACCCTGAGCATTAGGGAAATACAAGGTTTGCATCAGTTCTGGCCCTAAAGCCTCAGCTCTGCTCCAGGGCGGATGGCAGCACCATGCCTGCATCCTCCCCTGCACCAGCTGCCTCGCGGGATGCCAAGGAGGGTAAAGGAGAAGCTGGCTTGTTTCTGTGCTGGTTTTCACCTGCCCGCTGTGTGCAGGCTGGGAGCTGAGTCAGGCTCAGCTCCTCCAGCTCTCTGCAGGATGATGGGGTGGCAATTCTGCTGGGAACACACGCGCCAGGCCAGAGTGGGACAGGCTGCACGTCAGGAGGGCATTTTGGTGGAAGCTCTGCTGTTGTGCCACACGTTTTCCCTGGGGATCGCGTCTCCAGGCTGGCTCTGGGACCTGGGCTGTGTTCCTTGCTTCCACCCTTTTGGCTGGAGCTGTCCTGCACTCGGTGTGCTCACGCCAGAGGCACTGCCATGCTCGTCTGCTGCAGCAAAGCTTTATGTGCTGCCCTCTGCTCCTCACTCCCATCTTTGCAATGGTGAATTTCAGAGCACTGGACAAGAGATGCCCAAGTGTTCAGAGCAAGGAAAAGACCTGACATCTAACTGCAGGAAAAAGGCTGCAGCTTGTGCAGGGACTTGCAGGGTGCCTCTGGGTTGAATCGTGGTGCTCACCAAAAGCTATTGACCACAGGATTAAAAAACTCCAACTCCTCTATTATCCTTTTACACCAAAAAGGTTTATGATTTGCTGCTGCTTCATTCCCTTTACAGTCCAGAAGGAGCATTCCTGGAGGGAATTTCAGCTCAGTACCCAGGAATCACCTCCTCCCACAGCCAGGAGGGATGTTTGGTTTAACATGTTACTCTGATGCCTCCGTGAAGCTCAATTCTACCAGAGCACTGACTTTGCCACACAGATCCCCCAGCACCAGACCATGTGTGCAGTGCTGCTGGCGACTGCAGGGTCAGCCCTGCCTCCAGGCTCCAGCTTCCTCTGCTTGCCCTTTACTTTGGGAATCACCTCCCAGAAATTAAGGAGGAGACGTGGAAGGGAGGAAATTCCGCCTGGGGCATCTTTGCTCTCTGACAGTGCAAGGGAGATCGTTTCACATCCCACCTCTGCTCTCTTCACATGCTCCTCTTGGCTGCCAGCCCGATTCACTGCTGAGCATGGGTCAGAGCTGACCTCCCTCCACAACACTCTCTGATCTCTCCACTGCACCACCTTTTGCTCCATTTAGATTTGAGTCCTGGCAGTGCAAAAGGCAAAGCTGCCTGCTGCCAGGCTCTTACAGAGCCTCCGGACTGCTGAGGCTGGGTGGGCTCTTCAGCAATAGATTTGCCATCACAGCTAATGGATTTAAGGCACGAAACGAGACATGTGAGCCCTCAGCCAGCTGGAGCCACGTGGCCCCCCTGGATCTCCACACACAGCTAGTGCAAGAGAAGAGGAGAAATAAAGGCTCCTCACCCGCTTTGTTTCGGGCACCAGGTCATCCTTCATCCTCCGCTTGGTCCAGTCCTTGGCGAGCTCATCCTCTGCTATCTCCTGAAGGTGGAAAACAGCCACTTGGGCCGATGTCCGACGGATGCGGCCGCTCGGGGTCCTTTCGAAATCTTCTATGGGACCAGGCTCTGGCTTCACCTCTGGCTCCTCCGGAGGCTGCAAAGAGACAGAGTCAGGATGGGGATGCTGAGGGGAGAAGAGGAGCCCTCTGCGATGGGATACTGGGGTTTGGGCTCTGCGTTGGCAGACCTGCTTCATGCGGGGGGCGGCTGGAGAGGCACCAACATTAGACTGACCGCGTCCTCTCGCGCTCCCACGTGTATAAACGTCTCCATTTATTAGAGTTAGGGAGTTATTAGCATCAGATGCACTGTCAGTAGTGATCAAGAGAACAGAAAGGGATGCTCCCCAGGGATCAATCCTGCCACCCCAGTGCTGGCAAGCAGCCGGCGCTTGCTTGCTGCTGAGGGAGTGGTCTGAGCTTTGCTTTTCTTCCCTGCACAGCATGGATGCAGGGTGGGCTGGAGCACAGCCCTGTGGGCACCAGGGAAAGGGAACACTGCTGAGCACTCTGCTCCTATAAACAGCATCCCGCTTTTTAGGAGGGGGCTGTAGCTCATTCCACCCCCCGACACCACATGGTACAACACACGTGCACAGTGATGTGAAAGAGAAAACAACATCGGTCCAACATCTGCACCTGCCTTGCCCGGCCCGGCCCTGCCCGGCTCTGTCCTGCCCAGAGGCTCTGCAGCTCTGCCGTCCCCCCCAGGGGGGGCGGG